GTGATTGGCATAGGTAATCAACGCATATGTAGCCATGTTGATGGATTTGCAGGGAAAAACAGTTGACAGAACCGAGACCATGGACACGTCTTATGTTTTTAGTAGCGTATGCTCGGTAAGTGCATGTACTGTAAGCGCACGGACATATACATAGACATTCCCACCTACCCAACATTGTGATAGTCAATTGGGTGTTTTGAACATTTGAATCTTATTGCGTTTGGGGATAAGATGTGATGAGGAATCCAAGTGCATTGTCACGGGCGAAGTATCTAAATGTGTAAACCAAAGCCACGAAAGGACACAGATACACACATTACCCGGTGTATCATGCCAAATACTAGACTATAATGGTTTACGACATGGTCAACGGGACGTGGAAACATTATAATTCTTCGAAACCGAGATGAGGAATGCGTGATGAACATTACAACAAATTGCTCAAAGTGGTAAGTATATGACCATTAAATTACTTGTTAGAAGGCGTATTAGTTTCTTCCTTTCGTTTGAAGACAGATAAGAAAATTTGTAATTTTTTCGCGTTCTTACATTAATTATGTCTTTTGGTTTGAAGTCAATACGTGTGTCATACATTTGATGTATGTGAAACTTTGATTTTGTAGAAGCAATGGGTGAAAAAGTATTGTCTGGCCACGGTTGGCAGTCAGTAGTGTTAAAACGCCGGATTTTAACGAACCACTTGTTTCAATCATGGATTGCCCACGACTGCGTCCGAAAACGTAAGTTTTGATGTTGGTTTGGGGTTTGTTTTGTTTTTTAAATACAACCGAATTGTTTTCCAATCATGGGGGTGTTAAGATGGTTGCTTTTTTGTTATTTACCAAATCGGATTGTGTGATTTTCGTCTGCTTCATCATAAGGCAGTACATTCATGATTGCGACATTACCGACACGATGGATAGGGTAACACCACTCGATTTACGTGCAACAATTGTTAAGATGTTCTTGAATGACTTGATTAGAGGACTCTGTGCTATAATACGTTGATGGCATTGTCCTACTCCCACCCTAATACACTGCTAGTTGCACATAGATTTTGCTTTGAACTATTTTTATTTTATTTTTACTATATTGCTGGACGTAAATAACAGCTAGTTTTTGTCACGACCCAAACCCGGTACCCCAAGGGTTTAATGTCGTAACAAGATAAATGAAATAAAATAAGGAAATTCGGAAAATTTTACAACGCAAACGGATAATTTAAATAAATTAGAATAAGTAACTGGGTATCAACTGTTTATTTTAAAGGTAATAAGCATAGTCATTGGAGCTTCATAGTATTACAAGAGTTTAATAATAGAAGACAGAAATCTAAAAAAAAACAAAATAACATAGCGATTCATTTTCCATCTTGATCCCGCTAAATCTCGTCACCTGAAAGAGGTAACAGCTATAAGCACATAGCAGAGTGAGAAATATTATACTATGAGGGCACAAAATAGCCATGGATATTTATTTAAGCTAAAAACATTATAAATTGAGTTGAATTGAATACATAATTTAATTAAGTGCCAGAAACTGAAATAATCACTATAACCACGGTACATCACTAAGTGACTAGCACTACACTGGTCAATGGATCCATGACAAACACTGGGCCACAAAGTGGTCAATCACTAAGCCAATGGTTATTTAAGTCCCCCAAGGCATGGGACTCCCGTGGTGGTATTCACAAAACATATTTTCACATAAGGTTATAGCCAAATATTCTTTAAAATAAAAACAAACATATCCATGAGTTTCCTTTTAAGCAAATAGGGTTCAGAAATAAAACCACGTAACTGAAATCTTTATAAAACATAACTTTTATTAATATACTAATAAAATATAACTTGTATAAAATAGATTTTGGTAAATAAAATACATTTTGGTAACTCAAGGTATAATATAACTCACCTTAATAGTGACCCTTAGCCTTACTCCACTAACCCAACTTATTTACGTACTTCTCCCACTCTCTTTTCTTTCTTTTCCTTTCTTCTTTTCTGTTTCTTACATCCACAGATTGAACAACTTCTCACTATTTATAGTGAGATGAGTCCACCGATTGGCCGACACGTGGCCGATTCGAATCGCTCCCCAGATTATTTCTGATTCACCCGAGATTCATACCTATCTTAAGAATTAATTAGGATAACAATTAAGATAATTACATTTGACCCAACAATTAAGATAATTACATTTGACCCAATATTTTAATATAATTATATAAGTAAATTAATTTTTAATTAAATTACACATTAACACATACCAACAGAAAATTAATTATTTATTTTATTACCATACCCATTATTATTATTGTTTATATTATTATTTATTCCCTCTTTTTTTCTTTTTTTCTTTTTTATTTTTTTTATTTTTATTTGTACTATACATTTTATAGTTAGCCTCAAATAATAATCCCTAATTAATAACCCAACACCATTCTAGATTTATACATTTATTCATGTAATAATCTATTATCACGTGTATTTATATGGACTTGACTAAACGTTCGAGGTGTCACAATTCTCCCCTTCCAAGGAAAATGGTGGCGAATGGTGGCTAGTGTTGGGTGGTAAAAAAAAAAAACTGAAAACTCAAAACGGAAACACATTTTTTGTGTTTTCATTTTTTAGCCAAATTTATAAACTGAGAGCACTGATTTATAAATTAAAAATTTTACCAAACAAGTTTTTATTTAGAATTTTTTAAATTTTGTAAATATAAACAGAAAACTGAAAACGTAAGTGTTACCAAACGACACCTAGTAATGATTTTTTTTGGTATGAGATTGTAGTTTGATGGAAGCAACATTGTCGGTGATTGGTATAGGTAATCAACGCATACGTAGCCATGTTGATGGATTTGCAGGGAAAAGCTGTTGACAGAACCGAGACCATGAACACATCTTATGTTTTTAGTAGCGTATGCTCGGTAAGTGCATGTACTGTAAGCGCACGAACATATACGTAGACAGTCCCACCTACCCAACATTGTGATAGTCAATCGTTTGGGGACAAGATGTGATGAGGAATCCAAGTGCATTGTCACGGGCGAAGTATCTAAATGTGTAAACCAAAGCCACGAAAGGACACAGATACACACATTACCCGGTGTACCATGCCAAACACTAGACTATAATGGTTTACGACATGGTCAACGGGACGTGGAAACATTATAATTATTCGAAACCGAGATGAGGAATGCGTGATGAACATTACAACGAATTGCTTAAAGTGGTAAGTATATGACCATTAAATTACTTGTTAGAAGGCATATTAGTTTCTTCCTTTTGTTTGAAGACAGATAAGAAAATTTGTAATTTTTTCGCGTTCTTACATTAATTATGTTTTTTGGTTTGAAGTCAATACGTGTGTCATACATTTGATGTATGTGAAACTTTGATTTTGTAGAAGCAATGGGTGGAAAAGTGTTGTCTGGCCATGGTTGGCAGTCGGTAGTGTTAAAACGCCGGATTTTAACAAACCGCTTGTTTCAGTCATGGATTGCCCACGACTGCGTCCGAAAACGTAAGTTTTGATGTTGGTTTGGGGTTTGTTTTGTTTTTTAAATACAACTGAATTGTTTTCCAATCATGGGGGTGTTAAGATGGTTGCTTTTCTGTTATTTACCAAATCGGATTGTGTGATTTTCGTCTGCTTCATCATAAGGTAGTACATGCATGATTGCGACATTACCGACACGATAGATGGGGTAACGCCACTCGATTTACGTGCAACAATTGTTAAGATGTTCTTGAACGACTTGATTAGAGGACTCTATGCTACAATACGTTGATGGCATTGTCCTACTCCCACCCTAATACACTACTAGTTGCACATAGATTTTGCTTTGAACTATTTTTTTTTTTTTTACTATATTGCTGGATGTAAATAACAGCTAGTTTTTCAGCTGACTTTGCTTACAGTTTGACTTGGTTATTGATTACGTTGTCATTTGCGAATAATTTACATATCATTATGGGTTAAAAGTTTTTGTGGAACTTGTTTTGGTTGACTTTCCTGAAGGTTTGGGACAACGGCAGAATGTTTCAATGTGGTTAGTCGCTTTTTGAATGCGAGCGTGATAACGTTAAGACGCACGTGTAAGTCAAACAGCATAGAGAGACACAATTTTTTAAACACTATAAGACGTTTGAGATATGCACATTGTTGATAATGTTTGGAGTAATGTAACAAGCGTTACGATTGTTTGCACTGTTGCCACCGTTTGTTGTTCACAGTTTTGTCTGTGTTATAGTTGATGGTGTGATGCTATTAATGAATGAGTTCTTCGCGTATTTGGCAATGATAATGTCGTAGGTTGATTTGTTATTATTTTGTACGAAAATTTTATTTATGAATAATTTAAACATCTTTGTGTGGGGTAACTTTGTTGAATGTAATGAAACGTTTGGTATAGTTACTTCCGAAATAATATTTAGAACAATATGTTAATCGTTAGGATTGGTTGTAATATAGCATATCGTTGCACAATATGTCAATCGTTAGATAGTTTCATAAACAGAAGCTGCGTAGCTTATTATTGGCAACAATATCTATTTTTCTTAAGATAAGTTTGCGATTTTGTAACATCTCACATAAAAAAACTTGTATCACTCCCGTTCTTGTGTAGGAGTTAAATGAAAGCAATGTAGCAGCGCACTGAGTGATGTTAAAATGTACTGTAATTGATTATCAGCTTTTGATGTTATGGAACCATGTAATATAGCATAGCGCTGCACAAAAAAAGGTGTCCCACAAATAAGGGGCTGCATTGTGAAGTAGGTGGAGGGTTTGGCGTAACGACCAAGAAAGTGATACAGTAAAACAACCAATGAACTCATTGTGACTAGACGGTGTTTTTTTTAGTTCACGTGTTTCACGATTTGAGCCAAACATAACAAATATATAATATTTCATAAACTTCCATCAATTCAAATGTAATAAATATATAATTTTGCATAATGTTCGCAAAGTAAGGAAACTGTTAAGCAATTATTTCAGCAACGGTTTGTGACCAACAAAAAAAATACGAGTACGCTTCATTGGTTCCTTGCATGTTTTCCTATTATAGTGACCCATTTTGCCACAATGGCCACACCGAATAAGTTGAACAACCTCACCCTTTGATGGAATTCTTTTCTGCTTGGGCCTCCCGGGAGGACGCTTGTAAATAAGTGGTGCAATGAGATAGTTTGAGGTTGTGAACTTGGGTTTTTCTACTGTGGGAATTGGGTGGATGGACCCTGCATACGTTGCCTTATACTTCACCACGTGATAAAATGACTCAATGTAACCGTAAACATTCTTACCACTATTTCGAAAAGTAACAACTGCGTGGGAACATGGAAAACCATTTAGTTGCCACTGAAAACAAGAACATGAACGACTGCCAATGTCAACAAATACCGATGGCTGGGAACAAACGTCGAAAATGTTGTTGTCCGACTGACTAACAATCCACGACCTGCTATCTTTAAACTCGGACACCAAAAGTTTTTCCATTTTGGGACAAATTCCGCCCACCCAACCGCTAGATTTAACTTTCCGATTTGAAATTTTTTCCATGATTTTCCCTCTAATCGCATCGACCAATTGAGTAATGAGCAGGTGATGAGCTTCACGAATCCAGTTGTTGAATGACTCCGTAGCGTTGGACCACATCTCACCGTAGCAACGACCCCTGTGGATAGGAAAAAAATAATTGATGTTGATAATATGCAATGGGCATTACTCAAATGCTTAAAATAATGTAACACAAAAAAACAAAAGGCACCTGAAATACGCGTTGGCCCAATGTTGGGGATGCAAGTCTTTTAAGAAATTCCCAACAACCACTGGGCTACGTTGCTTCAAAACATCAATTTTCTGATTGAATGAAGTAACTGTAGGTGCGTAAGCACATTCCCGTAACTTCCGCATTAGACCAATTTTCTAATCAGCGCTAACATATTTCATCCGGTCTCGGAGATTCATCTGATGATGTAGCAAGCAAAATGCATGGTGTGCTGCTAGGAAGACGGTGTGCATTGATTGTATCAAACACGCATTACGATCAGACACAAAAGTTAATTCCCGTGAACCATCCACAATTTTTCCCATATGACGTAAGAACCACTCCCAGTTGGATGCGTTTTCTAAATCGACAATAGCAAATGCGGCGGGGAATAACCCTGCATAACGTGCATGTCCATAACGTATAAATGAAGCAAGTAGTGGTTCAGAATGCAATATAAAATAATAAATTGGAAAAATTGTGACCCACATGTTGTGTTATAATGACAAAGGTGTAACATATTCATGAAATTGTACAAAAAAAACCCATTACAAATTGTAAACCATACCTTGGTTCCCATCCTTAGCTGTAGCCGCGAGCAACGTACCCTTGAACCTCCCCTTCAGAAAGGTCCCATCCAAAAATAAAAGTGGACGGCAACTGTTGAACCCATCGATGCTTGCACGAAAAGCTATAAAATACCTAACAAACATCCCAGTTTGGTGATCGAAATCCAAATTAATGTGACTACGTGGGTTGTTTTGCATAACAACATCTTTATACCACCTGAGTTGGTTGAACGACATGGCGTACTCGCCAAACACTTCACTTCTCATTTTTTCCACCCTTAACCAGGCAACCTGATAACTAATATCTAACCCGTAATCGTCCTTTATGTCAAACACCATATCTATTGGGCAATTGAGTAGTTGTTCACGCACACGGTCTACGATGACATCGGACACCAATTTTGACCTAGTTAAACCTCTTCAAATGCAAAATTTCATTCGAAGCAAATACTTGTGCGTGAACCAACCACCCACACCCGATTGACATTGCAAACTTGCAGACAGCCATGACACGTAGAGAGTCGTTTTTCACGTACTTTAATTGAAATCCACATTCCATGGCATACTTGCAGAGTACCCTCCGGAATTCATGTGTGCCCCCGAGAAAAGATTGACCAACATGTGTAATACCGAATGCCCATCCAGTAAACAATAACGTCTTCGTTCTATGTAGATAGTATGACACCACTAAATCCCTCCAATCTTCTATATCGGACATACGATAATCTATGGTTTCACACGCCCCATCATTGGGGGACACTGTCACACCACATTGACTACCCAACCCATTACACTGCCTTTGAATTAGCGCATCAATATGGTCAAGATCGAATGACTTTGCAAGTGACAACATGTTTTGCACATCATCATCGCAATCAACCTTAAACTTATTGTATCTAGGAATGGTGAACAAGAAATAAACCAATCTCGGCTCGACCATATCAAACTTGTCACAAACACTAGCAACCAATTGTGCAAAAGTGGATGTCTGATGAATACGGAACACTGCGTTTATCTAGCTGAACGTATATAACAACAAACTCCATGCCTGCGGGAAAAAAAAAAACAAACAAACAAACAAACACATTACAAAACATAGCTTCATAAACGTAACACTGGACATGGTTATGCTACGGTAATTGAGCCGACTGAGCATCATCTAGATGTTACAGTGTCACAATGCCACCTAGATGCAACGTTAGAAACTGAATCGTCATATGTTACAAATTGCATCAAAATATGTTAACAAACCCCTACCCCATCATCTTATGTTAAGCAATGTAACACAATCACAACTAATTGATACAACATAAACGTACAAAAATGAAAATTCTCACAAAACCCTCACCTTTGGCACATTGTCAATACCAAACGACCACAATCGATACCGAAATACACATTACGATGGGAAATCCCACACAGGGACACCAAAATCAAACTCTGAAACCCATTTTGAAAAGGAAATGTTTATCCAACGCCAAACTACACATTATACACACCAATTCCCCCACAAGAACACCAAATCAAAATCCAAATCCCGTACACAAAAACCAAAAACCACATTGCAAAAAAAAAAAAATGTTTATCCAACACCGACCTACACCTTACAAACAACCCTTCCCACAGACGAACACCATAATCAAAAATCCGAAACCCCCCCCACCCCACACAACCCATAACCCACATTGCAAACATTAAACAGGAAATTCTATGTTTAATTTTTTTACTGTTGATTTACATGTTAGAACCACATTGCAAAAAAAAAAAAACATACTATACCAAAGTACACATTACAAACATCAATTCCCACACAAAGAACACCAAATTAAAATCCAAAACCCCCCACACAAACCCCATAAACAACATTGCAAAACCAAAAAAAATAAGCAACAAAGACAACGTATAACCACAACAACCATGACTAACACAATAGTCCAATAAACACACCAAAACATCACAAACAAAAACTGAAAACTAAAAATAACAACTAACCTGACTTTTTCACACAAATATTCAATCGGAAAGAACTCAAAGCATCAACCAGCAGCACCCAAACACCAGCTCCAAAACCGATCAGCAATACACACCCAAAGCAACATTAACAGCACACATCACCAACTGGAAAACCTCATATGCTTTGATAGGAGTCCAGAAAATCCCCTCCTAGAAAATAGTAATGTTACAGCATTCCTTAACCGCCTAAACCAGTAAAAAATGGGGGGAAAAAAATCACAATATGGGCATAAAGGTAAACTCTATACACAATATATCATAAATATATATTTTACCAAAAATAAAAAGGACTAAATGGTTTAAGAAAAAACACTCAGGACTAAATAGAGCAACATTTTCTAAAATGGGATTTATGAGTAATTTTTCTTAAAATTTAAAACATATTCACTAAAAACAAAAAAAAAATGAAAAATAAAAAACTTAATTCAAAAAACTGAAACCAAACACATTAATTATTATTATTACCTTTATATGTTTCATTATTATTCCTTATTCCTTTTGTGCTAAGAATCTCCTTATGCTTATATATTTTTCTCCTTTTTTATTTGGGGAAATAATTGTGTCAGTTTGTTACCTTCCTTTTTTATTTTTCTTTCCAAGTCTCTCGTCAAATTCCTCAACCAAACACAAGGTAAGGACAATTTGAATTCCATGGCATGAACTCTGATAAATAATTATAGGACGAGTTAATGGACAAAGCTTCCGAGATAAGAAAGGTTCGCTCTCTCTAAACTTATTCTCAATGAGGTGAACTGTTAATTGTTGAGAGATTGTTTTAATGATCTCTAATATTACTCAAACAGGATTTGGATAAGATATAGGTTTATTTATTCAATGACCTCTTCAACTGTGAGCAAATATTAATTTACCTTCTCATTTATAAATTTGTATAAATTGTCCTTTTCAACTATAAAACTGTATAAATGTCATCTTATGGAGAGGATGAAAATGATACATTTTATAATTTAAGAAGTCAAAATATACAAATTCATAGAATGGGAGGAGGTGAACTTTTTTTTTTTTTTTTGGGTACAACGGAAATAAAACAACAAAAGGAGGAACTAAGTCCTCTTCCTGCCCAAGCCTATCATATCAGATACAAGCAGCTCTCTTAACTCAGCTGGTGGATCATTCATCACCAATATTTCTTCGGGTTGGTTGGCTCCCATTTTTGCCAAAAAATCAGCACAGAAATTGCCTTCTTTCCAGACATGTTGCACAGAGCATTCATACCCTCTAAGTAGAATTTGGGCATCCTCCACCAGGTTCTTGAAAGGGCATCTATTACCTAGTTCTTCTTGTAGCAATTGCACCACCTGTTCAGCATCGGTCTCAATTATGACCTGGTTCATTCCTTTTTGTAGAATGAGTCAACCCTTTGTATACAGCCCACAATTCAGCTTCTAGACTGTTCCACTGTGCAATTTTCCATAGTAGTGTAGACGCGCCCTTGGGCCCCACGCTATAGTTCAGACTCCATTTTAGTCACGGTTCTTAATCTGAACCAAAGAGTCCAAATCCGGCAAATCGTTTTTGGAAAACAGATTTTTAGAAAGAAGTGCCAAACATGGTCTACTTTGCCAGATACAGAGTCGCCACCTAAATATTTTATTTTGAGGGAATTTAGGAAACCCTGACTCGTTTGCCTAAGGTCACGTGTCCGTCATCACCAAAGTTGCCTCGGCTCGGGAACTGGGGTACGATTGGGGAAGGTCAGCTATGAGCACCCCCGCTCGCCCGATCCGAAGATCGCCCTCTACTAACCACGATATCTTGTTTTGAAAATATTATGAGCTCTTATTCTGGTTATTAGCCTAGATTTACTATGTGATGCGCACAGCACACAAGTATAGACTGGATCGCCTGAATTGGAACAAAACATTTCATATTTGTTTTGAAAACGGTCTGTTACTCGTAAGTAGGCTAAAATGCAGATTTTGCCACCTTCGGGTGGGCTTAGAAAACATGGTTTTGCCACTATCTAGTGGGCTTAAAACTCACAGTTTTAATGCATTATTCCAATTCAGGTAATTCAACCTCCACCCACAGGCATCCAAACAGTTATATCATATAGGCAAATAGCCTCATGGTAAGCATGCTGTCATGGCAACACTCACACGCATGCAAGGATGCTAAAGCGAAAAGACTTACAGAGTACTCCAAGCCAAAACAAAAGCTATGTTAGAAATCCATGCATGGTCCTAATTATACAGAAATGCCTAATGTAACACATGCAAAATGAGGAATGCAACTACAATAGGCTCGGCTATTCTAAAATGACATGTGAAATGCTACAACTAATACGTATTCAATTTGGGATTGAAATACAAATCCAGTTAGTATGATGTGCTGAGCTCGGTGCATGCAAAACGAATGAATGTATGCAAACATGTTATCATAAGTATGCTAATTGAAACATGCCCTAAACTAACCATCGAAAGCTAGTAAATAAAAGAAAAGAAAGACGTGGGGTTGGAAGACATACACACACTCACGCACACTTATTACACAATTTCCCTCGCTCGGAGGGTCCGAATAAATATTACAAAACAAATAAATAATTA